TGAAGAATGGTTTTTAATGAAAAAAAAAAAAAAAGAAAATTTGGATTTAACCAAAAAAAATTTATTTAAAAAACCTCTGGCCAAGAGGTTCTTTTTTTTTTACGCCAAATAATTTAAGCCACTAAGTTTTGCCTTTAACGGACTTTCCCATCTATTAAAAAAACAAAAAAAAAAAAAAAAAAAAAAATGAAAAAACTTAAACAATTGTCAAAGGAAAAAAAAGTTTTTATCTTTTAAAAAAAAAGTTTTTTTTTTTTTTTTTTTAACCAATTTTGGATTTTTTTTAAAAAGACAGAAACAAAAAAAAAAAAAAGGACAGTTCAAAAACAGGTTTTTTAAAAAAAAAATTCTTAAAAGAGGCAAAAGTTTTCTTCTTTGTTTTTCTCTTCACCCAAAAACTTGAAAATATAAAAAAAAAAAAAAGCAGGATGAAACCTTAAAATTTTTTTTTTCAAAAAAAACCTTTTCTTCAACAAATTTTTTTAAAAAAACTTGTTAGAAACCAAAGCCCCCCAAAAAATGTTTTTTTTTACTAAAAATTAAAAACCCCCCAAAAGCAAAAAAACCGCAATTTGCCAAAAAAAAAAAAAAAAAAAAAAACAGAGTTTTTTTTTTACCGAAAACATAAAAAAAAAAAAAAAAAACTTTTAAATTTAACCCCAATTTTTCCTGCAAAAAACAAAGCTTGGGCTTGGATGTTCAAAGTTTGGGAGGCCCCAAAAAGGGAATTAAGAAGGCAAAGAAAAAAAAAAAAAACACGTTACCGCCACTTATTCTTTTAAGAGGTTTTCTTTTTCCTCGTTTTGAATTTGTTTTAAAAAACCCCAAAAAAAAAATTTACGTCAACTTGAAAAATTTAGTTTTTAAAAAAAAAAAAAAAAAAAAAAAGGCATACTAAAACCCAATTAAAAAAAAAATGCCATTTTCAAATCGAGGGGGAACTTTTGGCCTTTTAGAATTTTTTTCAAAATTTTTCCAAAACCATCTTATTGACTTTTACCAAAAAAAAAAAAAAAGGGAAAAAAAAAAAAAAAAAAGGTTCCCCAAATTCTTCAAAAAAAACGCCTGCAAAAGGCAGGGGCGAAGTTTCAAATTGGAAAAAGAAAATTCTTCAAAAAAAAAAAAAAAACAAAAACAACCTTTTACCCCCTTCAAAATTAAATTCTCCCCTTCCTTTCCTTAAAATTTTTCCGTCAAACCCCCAATCGCCCTTCCTAAAAAAAAAAGCCTTGCGATTCAAAACGGCCCCTTCCGTTTCTTTCGAAAAACATTTTCTCGAGGGCCCGAAAAAAACAAAGCTCCGGGGAACGGCCGAAACACGGGTTCCGCGAAAAACGGAGCGTTCCTCCTTTTTGCCTAGAAAAAGCGGAACTTTTTGGGCCAGGCCCCAATTTTTTTCGCAAAAAAAATCGGCGCGGTTTTTTCTTTTTTCCCCGGGGGTTTCCCCGGCTTTGGAAAACCCCGCCCCAAAAGGGTTAAAAGGGCACGGGGGCCCGGGCCCGCGGGAATCTTTCCCTTCCTTTTTTTTTGGGGGGACCGGAGGGGTTTTTGAAAGGAATTGGAAAAGGCCGGGGCTGCTTGCGGGGGCCGATTTTTTGCTTTTTGCCCCCCCCAACCATCCCCTCGCGAGGGAAGCCGAAAAAAAAAAAAAGGCGGGGGGGCTTTTTTTCCATTCGGGCCGAAAGTCTTAGGCCCAAAGGGCCGCGCGGGGGAATTTTGTGGGGGAAGGGTTTTGGGGCCCCGATTGGCGTTTTCGATTTCCGGGTGTTAAAAAAAAAAAGGCGGGTCGTTTTGGGGGAATTTCTCTTGGAGGGTTTTTTTCTTTTCTTGATCCTTTTCCCGCCCAATTGGCTTTTTTTTGTTGCCGAGACGAAGGGAAGAAGAGAAGAAGAAAAAAAAGAAGAGAAGCGTTCTTGGAAAACAGGGCTTATTTTCGAGGGGAGGAAAAAAAAAAGCGAAAAAAAAAAAAGTTTTTTGGGGGCTTTTTTTAAAGGGGGGTAAAAAAAAATACCTCGGCTTGAAGTTTGGCGCCTGGGTAAATTGGTTCCGACTCTTTGTATGGGCTGGCTTTGCTGTCTTCCCTTGGGCCTTTAATATCGGTGGTGGTGGGCGACGGGTTTAGCATTGCTGACCGGTTTTTTTTCGAGCTTTGCAGACATACCGAAGGATGGAGATCCTCCTTGTATGGTATTAATAATGTTGATGATACAATGGGAGAAGTACGAGAACTACTCTCAAAGGCATACAAAACAGGTGCGGAAATAAGGCCCACATTAAAAAAGAATCATGCTACATATGCATATTTTAATATTAAATTAGAAACCTTCTGTTTTGTATGGATGATTGCATTTTCTATTTCATCATGCAATATATTTATTTATTCTTATAGTAGTATGTATTAATTAAAGGAAATTACACTAGTGCCCCCCATGAACTTTTAACATTTTGCAATATTATTTTACTTACCCTTGTTATATATATTTTATTTATATTTCTACTGATACTTTTATGAACTTTCTCTACTCTATATATATTAAGTATAAGAGAAAGAGTATACCCAGATATTTGCTCTCAAAGTTCGATGTCGCGGTAGAGGTACACCGCTGAGATAATCTTTCAATGTAGATCATATTCTGTAGAGGGTATATCAAGTAACTTTAGACATGTGGTTATATCCTCAACATTATGTCTTGTCTATTTTGTCTATTTATACTTCTAGATATATTACTACATATTATGTAAATAATTATATTTCATTTGATAGGTAATCTTATGTTTTTAGGCATTATGTATTATATAGTAGTTAATAAATGTATCCATAATAATAGTCTTAGATCTCCTAACCTTGCATGTCTTAATTACAATATTGATAAATACGATATTTATGTACTCTAAAATTGAGTGTTAATTTCTAATTTATGCGTTGGATAATATAAAAGGGACCTCATAGGGATTTTTATTAATTTTTGTTTATAGGTTTTTGATTTTGCTCTTAATCACGTGAGTTTTTTTACATGCTGTCACGGTCAGATCTTATGTAAATCTAGTTATCATTATCTTTATTGTCTTTTTTCTATAACAATGTTATGTGGGTTTTTTATGGTGGTGATTTTTGGAAGTTATTAGGTAGTTTAGTGTATTTTTGAAAGGTCTTGGAGGTCTAATTTGATTTTAAAAGTTATTTTAGGTTTGACTACAAGGAACCCTATGAGTTAAGAGTTATAATTTAACTATTAAGTAATAGATGAGTGTGGCTGAATGGGGTATAGTTACAAAGAAAGATAATCCAACTTGTATCTGCTTGATTACACCTAGAGCGATCTCTAGATATAGTTAATGATATTCGAAGGTAGCTATAGTAGGTAAGTGACCGCTATTTAGGTAGTTATAGTACGTGATCTGATATACTTGTAGTATGATATACGCTATATTATACGTGTATATATAGTATGGTATTATATATTATATAGGAATATGGGTATGCTTGGGGTACCAAGCACCAAAATTTGGCTGGCTTGGCTGAGTGAGGTGGTCATCACTTATCCTCCAGCTCATTTCAAATTGGGGCGACCACATTCACATGGCGTTGAATGTCGGTCCTCCAATTTAATGAGTGGATCGGGGAATGAGACACATCACTACCAAGCACAAAATTTGTGCTTGATACCAGTATGTACCCATTTTCTCATATAGTATAGTATAGTATAAGTGTACTATATAGTAGTATATGATAGGGCTCAGGGGTAGGTACCGGTACTAGCTACGTTATATATATAGCGTAACTATGAATGAGGTGATATAGAGGGAGAGAGAGAGATGTGTATGCTTGGGTACCAACCATCACATTTTTATCCTTAGTAGGAGGGATGACAGTATTTGCACCCTCCACGTATTTAAAATCGAGGGGCCCACATTCACATGGGTTTGGAGGAGTTGGGTTGGAATAAAGTAATGGTGGATGGGAATAGGAGGACTGACCTTACTACCAAGGCACAAATTTGCTTGTGTTTGGGGTTACTAAGCATACTCATACATATTTTTCTTTTATTTACTACTATGATATTATTTATATAGTAGTATATAGCAGGTATATATATATATATATTACTATATATATATATAAATTAAAGAAATTAGAAGAATTCGTGCGAGCAGGCATAAAACTTGTATAGGAAATCCTTCAAATTCCTAATGGCACAGAAATTTGATATGTGTCATATTATAAAGATACAAAGTTTACATGTGTTATATCATAAATATCCACATATCTCTTTATCCTATAAGAAGATGAAATCTAGACACCTTAATCTTACATTCACCTAAGAATTCTCATCAAATTAAAATTATCTGAAATTAGAAAATTCTAATAATCCAATATTTTATAATCATTCTCATATTATAACTATTCATAATTAGAATCTTATGATTATACATTAAAATGTAGAAATTAAAGAAAAAAGCAATTAAA